CATGGTGGCAAAGTGGTTAAATGTCTCAGTGGCTAACAAGAGGCTGATGGTAAGTCAACAAGTTGCCCCATGGTTAAGAAATGAGGCACTTTATAGCTTTGGAGATCCTGTGGGCAGGCCTGCTCTTTCCAACACAGTAGCTATGGGTTAGAAGACTTGATGGCAATGGGTTTGTTTTTTGTTATTAAAATAGTAGAAGCAGCACATAAGTCTATTATGTAAGGATTATCTCTTCAGCTAGGCTTCTGATTTCTTTCAGATTCATGCTCTAATTTCCTGGAAAACAGGCCCTGTATATATTTTATGCCTTAATCAATACTTTTCAACATAAATGCATAGGAGCTAAAAAAAAAAAATCTTAATTTCCAGCTTCACTATTTAAAAGTATATTTTAAAAACATAAAACAAAACCCTCTCTGACATCAAGTCCACCCTGCCTCACAGTGAGCCTACAGGGCAGATTAGAACTACCTAGGTTTCCAAAGCTATCCACCTTCTGCCTGGGAACAGCTGGTACAGGCAGACCACCTACATTTCACATAGGAGCCCTTCGCTTTAACACTGCTCTCTGTAGTACTCCTTGAAAACATTTTAAATATTCTTAATTTTGCCAGGTCCAGGGTTACAGATCATATTGTAGCAAGAATTACAGATGCAATGTAAAGATAAGGTGTTATATAATGATCTGTCTCCTTCTCAATGAAATAAAATCAATTAAAAAAATTAAAGCCTTAGCTTCTTTTTACTTCTGGCTCCAGAAGACCTTTAATTAGACCTTTATCCTATACTAGCTTATTATGTGAAGGCATTATTTCACATTGGATATTAGAATCAACCAAAACAAAACAAACATTCTTACATGGAATTCTGAATGAATCATATTTAGAACCAGAGAGGCCCTTATTAAAACGTATTTATGTTGTTGTTGTTGTTATGTACAGTTGAGTCACTTGTGACTCATAGTAACCCCATGTACAACAGCTCTGTACCCTGCTCTATCCTGAGCTAATCACCCACCGTCAATACCCTAGTGAATCCATCTCATCCAGGGTTGTCCTCTTGCACTGTCTCTTTACCATGCCAACCATGATGTCCCTCTCCAAGGGGTTCCTCCTGGCAACATGTCCAAAGTATGTCAGATGAAGATTCAGAATCCGTGCCTCCAAGGAACAGCCTGGTTTCACCCTCTTCAGGACAAACCTGTTTGTTCTCCTAGCAGTCAGTAGTCCATGGTATATTCAATACTCTTCTCCAGAACCATACACAGCTCAAAGGCATCAATTCTCCTTCTATCACTGTTGGTCATTGTCCAGCTTTCTGATGTATAGCATGTAACTGCAAAGCCCATGGCCTGGATCAGGTGCACCTTCAAAGGTCCCTAACAGCAGACTTTCCAGTGCAATTCATCTTTTGATTTCCAGGCTGCTGGTATCAAAAGTGTTGACTGTGGAGTCAAGCAAACTGAAGCTGTTAACAATCTCAATCTCTTCACTGTCTACCATGAAGCTGCCAATTGGCCCAGTAGGTGAGAATCTTTATTTTCTTGATGTTGAGCTTCAATCCACCTTGAAGGCCACAGTTCTTAACCTTCTACAGCAAGTGCTTCAGGTCCTCCTCAGTTTCAGCAAGCAGGGTTGTGTCATCTGCATAATGCAGGTTGTTGATGAATCTCCTACAAAGAACTTTTCCTAAGTAGGGTGGATTCTGCCATGCTGTTACTATGTGCTGTCAAGTCAGAACTGACTCACAGCTAAACCCCAAGCAGGTTTTCAGAAGCAGTAAACTACCTGGGAAGAGAATGCCTGTCTTTTTCCCATGGAGCAGCTGATGGATTCATACCAAGTGCCACTGGTTTGGCCAAGCAGCCACTTACTCCCAGACCACCAGTGCTGCCTAATTATACTTAGCTGGTGTAGCCACTCACGGTGGCTTTGAACCAGAGGTCTCAGATGGCTAATGAGGTAGCTCTGTTGACACAGTTGGCAGGGAGCTACCCAAAGACCACCTCTCTCTTATGAGGCTCCATTTCTTTATATCATTTCCAGTGGTTCAAATCCACCAGTAGCTTACAGGAGAAAGATGGGTTATCTCCTTCCAAGGGATTTACAGTCTAAAAACAAAACAAAAGGAGGTCAGCTATGAATTGGTTCCAACCTGCTGACAATGACATGGCTAATGACACTGAGGGTGCTCTGGTGGCCCAGTGGTAAGGAACCCAAACCCAAAGGAACACAGCTTGAATCCATCAGCTGCTCTCTGGGAGAAAAATGGACAATCTTCTCTCAGGTAAATTCAGCCTCTGAAAACTTGCTGGAGGGTCAACTATGAGCCAGTCCAAATCAAAGGCACAAATGGTACTGAGCATCCTGTCACGTATTCGGTAACTGTATAAATGTCTTCTTTTGTTCCTCTTATAATTGAGTTATTTGTATTATATTTTGGTTATTAAATTCTTGTAAGATATACAGTTTCTAAAGACATTTTTCCAGTCAATAGCTTCTCTTCATTTTCTGGATAAAATCCTTGGATGAACAAAGGTTTTATAAATTTATCACATCCTTTGTTTTTTAAATCAGGTCCTTTTTCTTTTGCTGTAACACAATCCTGCTTGCTGAAACTGAGGAGGACCTGAAGCGCTTGCTGCAGAAGGTCAAGGGCTGTAGCCTTCAATATGAATTGGAGCTAAACTTCAAGAAAACAAAGATTCTCACCACTGGGCTGATTGATTGGCAGCATCATGACAGATGGTGAAGAAATTGAGCTTGTTAACAGCTTTAGTTTGCCTAGCTCCATAATAAACACTCTTAAAAAAAAAATAATTATTGATTGGATTTCCATTCATTCATTATTGCCCACCCCTCCCCTGCAGTTCGCTTTTCTCTTTGACAAGTAAAAAAAAAAATCTTTCATTGTTATACAATCCCTTCCCCCACAGTCCACTCCACTATGCAGGTTTCATTCTGGACTCTTGTCATGACAATAATACCTAATCATATATTCCTCCTAAAGAGTACTCTCCCCTCATCTGTTTCAATGTAGTGTATATTATTTACCCCTTCTTAGTTTCCCTCCAACTCCGATGTCAGTCCCGCTTTACAACAGTGGCACTAAGCACTATTTGTCCTTTTGAGACTGAGATATTTCACTCAGCATAATGTCCACCAGGGTCATTCATTTTGACTAATATTTCATGAATTCTTTGTTTTCCAATGCAGCATAGTATTCCATTGTGTGAATATACCAGAGCTTCTCTATCCATTTGTTTGCACAATCAACACTCTTGGCACCAGCAGCCAGGAAATTAAAAGATGAACTGCATTGGGAAAGTTGGCTGTCAAAGACCTCTCCAAAGTACTGAAGAGCAATGATGTCAGTCTGGAGACTAAGGTGCGCCTAATTCAGGCCATGGTCTTTGCAATCACTTGCTATGCATCAGAAAGCTGACAATGACTAGGGATGACAGAAGGAGAATTGATGCCTTTGTGCTATGGTGTTGGGGAAGAGTATTGAATATACCATGGACAGCTAAGAGAACAGATGGGTTCATGCTAGAGAGAGTGAAACCAGGTTGCTCCTTAGAAGGAAGGATTCTGAAGCTTAGTCTTGACATACTCTGGACACAATGCAAGGAGGGTCCACTCCTTGGAAAGATGCCTTGAGGAACAAGTGCCTCCTTCATCATGAAACCAGACTTATTGGATGGTGCCTGGCTATCATTCTGAACATTTTTATTTTTTAATAAATATCTCATGGAAGAATCCTGATTCAAAGAAGAGAAATTACAACAGAAATTAATTCCCAGAATTTTAAATTTGTTGCTCCAAATTTTCTGGAGTGGCAGAGGCTAGATGAATCCCTAAACCTACTGCAATGAGATTATCTTCAAACATCAAATAATAATTGCTCCTGAAATAATCTTAAAACAATAATTTAACTTGGCTAGTAACAAAAGATTGAGTATTATACTCTTTTAAAAACTATGCTAAAAAGAAAAAAAAAGTACTATGTGGGATCATATTGACAAAAGCAATTTGAAAGATCAGAAAAAGGCCCTGAGGGAGGAATAACTCAGAAAATGAGAGTGGGAACGGTCGCACAGCGCAATAATCTCACCAGCATTACTAAGTTATATATGCAGAACTGCTGAACATTTTGCTGTATATATTCTTTACAACAAAAAAGAATAAAATTTGGAATAAAAACTACAGTATAGGAAAATGATAACACTTATAAAATTAAGTCCCTTTACTAATTCTCATTTTCAACAGTCTTGCAATTTGCACACTCTATTTCACACTGAACTTCTATTTTAACTCCTAGAATTTCTTCCTCAGAAGTTTTACACTTAAAAGTCTGAATTCCTTATTAAAGCTAATATTTTATTGGCTTGGAAAGCAACATAGTAAGTCAACTGCTAACAGCTACTATAGCTTAGTAGGATATACAAACAGCATACAGTTGAGCAAAGGAATTACATAATTTTATAATATACAATTTTTTAATGTAATTAATAAAATTATATTATGTAATTTTATAACAGCAGGTCTTCATCACTCCTTCAGGAAGAGCTGATAATGTTAGCAAATCTGAGCAAATTTTATTTCTTTTTAAGCATCCAAAATACAACTTTGTTGTACAGCTTTTATTATTTTTTAAATCAGCTAATTTTTCTGGCAATTGCTAAACCAGGAAAAAACCAAACTCATGGTCAAGTCAATTCCAACTCACAGTGACTGTCAGATAGAAGTAAACTGCCTACAGGTTTCCCAATGCTGTGATCTTGTATAGACTGCCTCATCTAGTAGCTGGCTAGTTTTAACTGCTGACCTGAGGGTTAGCAGCTGAAGTTTTAATCATTGTTCTTCTGGGGATGGTTGGCAACTGCTGACGGTTCATTAAATCCAATGCCAACTCTTAATCAAAAGGAAGGAAAGGAGATCAACGTAGATGAGTAATTAGATAAAGCTTTAGTCATCAGACATTTGAGGGTAAAGATTTACCTGGCAATATCTGAATGTGAATCGATAAGAGTGCTGACAAATCGGAAGAAGAGTGAGCCCTTCCACTTCACGAATTCCTCCTGTACAAAGAAATCAGCATGTTTTAGGATGAATATTAACATATACACTGAAAAAGTATTCATCATACAAACAACTGCTAACTTTTTGTAACATCACAATGGTCAGGCAGCCAATCTGTCTAGAGCTCAATAGCTCATATAGTTGCCACAAACTCCTCAATCATCTTAAAAACATGTACTAATTGACAGTGACAAACAGTGGAGGACTATCTGTATCTGCAACATCAATTTTCCTCTTTATTGGAAAGATGTTTATTGCGCATAGCTCGACATTTCGAGATGTAAAAGGGCCACATAGCTAGCTCTGTTTCTGGATTATGTAAACAGAGAGAGAACATTAGTTTTTTTTACTAGACCACTAATAACTGCTTGACACATAATTTTATATACTATAAAAACTGAAATTTTATTATTATATATATATTACTAGCCCATCTCAGAGGAGCTATTATGAAATAAAGTTAAATCCCTTTCATAAAATATCAAATATAATTTTCTCTCAGAGACCAAATCAATATTCTCAACATGTAAGAGTATTTAGTATTTAGGGTCTACTGCTTTCAGAGCTTTACAGTCCACCAGGTTCTTTAGTCTATTGTTGTTGTGAGGTGCCACTGAGTTGAGTACAACTCATAGCAACCCTATAAAAAAAACATCTGAACTCTACCCTATCCTGTCCCATCCTCACAATCTCTGACACACTCATGTCCATTTGGTCTTCCTCTTGTCATTTATCCACCTATCTAAGCATGGTGTCATTATCCAAGAAATAACCTCTCCTGGCAACATACCCAAAGTATGTGACAAAGCTTCATCACCTTTGCCTTCAAGGAGTACCTTCTCCAAGACATACCCACCTATTTGTTCTTTTGGTAGTCCTTGGGACATTCAGCATTCTTCTCCCAACACCACAGCTCAAAGGCATTAATTTTTCTTCTGTCATCCTTAGTCACTGTACAACTCTCAGATACATGGCAAATAACTGAAAAGACCATGGCCTGAATCAGGCACATCTTACTCCTTAAACTAACATCATTACTCCTCAATAATATGGAGAGGTCTCTCACTAAAACCTTTCCAAATGCAACACTGTTGTTGCTGTGTACTGTTGAGATGAAACCAACCCATAGCTGACCCTCTAGCAGGTTTTCCGAAATACTTATTGCAGGGGAGGAGATTACCCAACCTTCTCCTGCAGAAAAACTGGTGGATATGAATCACATGCTTTTCAGATTGCAGCGCAGCTTCTTACCACTAAACCTTCAGAGCTCAGTGCAGTATGTCTCCTTATCTCCTGACTGCTGGTACCAAGTGTACTGATTGTGGATCCCAAAGTCACTGACAGTATCTGTCTTTTCTCCATTTATCATGATATTGCCTATTAGCCCAGTAGCAGGCATTTTTCTTTTCTTGACATTAGACATAATACATATTGAAGGCTACAGTGTTTAACCTTTGGCTCCAAGTGCTTCAAGTCTGCCTCAATTTCAGCAAGCAAGGTTGTGTCATCTATATAACAAAGGTTATTGATAAATCTTCCTCTAATCCTGAAGCAACATGATTTTTCACCGAGTCTAGCTTCTCAAAAAACTTGCACAGCACACAGATTAAAGAGATAGCACATCGTTCTCCTGCGGAGCAGCTGGAAGATTCAAACCATGTGCTATTGGGACTGCAGTGCAGCGTCTTATCACTAGGCCAGCAGAGCTCCCTTGTCTAGGGATAGCCTTGGTCTAGGTATAGGTTTGGCATAAGCACAATTAAGTGTTCCATTCTTCTCAATGTTAGCAATAATTTGTTATGATCCACAGTAAATGCCTATGCACACAGTCAATAAAGCATAAATACACATTCTTCAGGTATTCATTGCTTTCAGCCAGGATCCATCTGACATCAGTAATATCACTGGTGCCAAGGTCTCCTGTAAATCCTACAAGAACTGTCTATGTACTCCAGACAGGGTAAATATAAAGACCTCCATTTTTCCAAGTGAGTTCACCAGGGAAGTACTGCCTTGTTCAAGGTTAAGCAGTGTGGCAGAATCAGAGTAAGAACTACTTTCACTACTTTTTGCATAGTGTTTCACTCTACAGGATGCTCCCTTGTTTCATGATGCTAGACAGGACACCTAAATAAACACCCCAAGTGAATATGAAGAAATAATATCTGTTTAAAAGGCAATCATTAGAAAATCTCATCAGCAATGAGGTCAGTTATTTTTAGACTGAACTATAACACTGCATATTTTCAAAATTCTTCATACATTTTCCCAGACCAGAAACAATTATGCTGGGGCAGGGATGTGGGGGAGGCAGGGAGGTGGGGTGGAGGTGTTTTGGGGTGATGTCTAATTCTTACCTGCAGGAGATTGGTAAGCAAGATGAGGGTCTGCTTCCGGATGAATGGATCCGAGTCCTTGAGACACATAGAAATATTGGGGATGTATCTGTCCACCATGACAGTGTAGCGGATGCAGAGATCACACATAACGATGATGACGTTGTTGCGCACAGCCACATCACTGCACACATCCAACTCGCGTACAAGGGCTGGGATGCTCCGTTTGGCTAGGTCTTCATGCTGCAAGCACAACTTTCCTATTGCAGAGGAGAAGGAAATGTCTCATTCATTCTACTCTGTCCTCCTTCGATATCTAAATTTTCTCCACATAAACCTTGTTATGGGTGTTATTTAATCTAAGTTAAAACATCACATAAAACATTTCAAACAAGAAACTTAAAGCCCGACAGATCAGAGCAAGGTGAAAACCACTGCCGTCAAGATGGCTCTGAATCATTGTGCCTTCAAGTGAGCACAACTCATAGTGACCCTATGAACAAAAAACCTGAAGCCCCTCTACAACTATCAAGAGTTATCAAAGTTCATAGTTTCCAGAGGCATGTTATTCAGGTAGTGGATGCCACTCCTGCTTATACATTATATTTTATATAATTATCACCATCGCCCAATGCCTATTATCACCCCATCTATTCAAGCCCCACTGAACCTTTCCCATTACTTCATTCCCTCCAACCATTAACATCTGCTATACCAATGATTTTTCCTCCTTCTCTTTTTCCTAACCCTCTTCTCGCCTTTCCCTTCTAAACATTTATACACATCTTATTCAGTTATCCCATATTCACAATACTGCCCTTATGCAGTATTTGCCCTTATGTGACTGCAGTATTTCACTCAGTATAATGCTCTCTAGTCTTTCCCAAGTTATACAGTATTTTACAAAATATTTGTTCTCTAGTGCTGGATAGCATTCCATTGTTCTGAATGTAGCACAATTTCTCAATCCATTCATTTGTTGATGGACATTTAGCTAGGATGTAAACCTTTATGGAAAGACACTGCACCTCTCTGTTCTTTAGAGTCTGAATTGTCAAACTTGCAGTTAATAGTTCAATATATTATACACTATATCGTCAGGATTTGGTTCATCTTAACAAAACATAAACTCCCCAGAAGTTTCACAAGATGTAGTATCTATGAGACATTCTCTCATGTCAATAAAGTTATTCCCTTTTAAAGAGAATATCTCAATTCTGAAGTTATCAACTGGAGCTCTGGTGACTTAGTGGTAAGAAAATGGCTGCTAACTCAAAGGTATGTGGTTTGAATTCACCAGATGCTTCATGAGATGTACAATTTCCTCCTGTGTGATTTATTGCCTCTGAAAACCTGCAGGAGGGTAAGCTATGGGTCTGTTCTGACTCAATCATACACAACAACAACCACTAGCATGGAAAGTGACCAACAAAACCTAATAAAGGATACCTATTACCCTTGAAACTGAGTAGGACCTAAAGCATTTCCTGTGGCAGGTCAGGGACTGCAGTCTTCAGTATGGAAGGCTCAATATCAAGAAAACAAAGATTCTCACCACTGGGCCGATGGGCATCACAATGGATGGTGAAGAGCTTGAGATTGTTTCATAGTTTTGGTTTGCTTGGATCCACAGTCAACACTCTTGGCATCAGCATATTGCGATGGGAAAGTCTGGTTAGAGACCTCTCTAAAGTGCTGGATGTGCAAAGATGTCAGACTGGAGACTAAGGTGTGCCTGATACATGCCATGGTCTTTGCAATCACTTGTTATGTATCAGAGAGCTGGACAATGACTAGAGATGATGGAAAGAGAATTGATGCCTTTGAGCTGTGGTTTTGGAGAAGAGTATTGAATATACCATGGACTGCTAGGAGAACAAACAGATTTGTCCTGGAGAGGGTGAAGCCAGGCTGCTCCTTGGAGGCAAGGATTTGGAAGCTTCGTCTGACATACTCTGGACATGTTGCAAGGAAGGACCGGTCCTTGGAGAGGATGTCATGCTTGAGAGAGTGGAAGGACAACGAGGAAGAGGAAGACCCTCGATGTGGTGGATTGATTCAGTGACTGGGGTAATTGGGAAGGGAGTGTCAGAGACAGTGCGATTGGCATAGGACAGAGCTGAGTTTAGGGCTGTTGTACATAGGGTTGCTATGAGTCACAGGTGACTCGACGGCACATAAGAACAACAACATTATCCTTGACTATATATGTTCCCTAAGGAAGCAGAATATCTTTTAAATAATGGGAACTCTGAGGTACATAAGTAGGAAAGGTTGTTCATTTTATTTATTTTGTGTTCATACTTAAGAGAAGGGCCTGGGGTGTGATTTGGTTTTATCTGTAATTCTCTATTTTAAAAATAACCCTAATTATTGGGAAAAAGAAATTCTCTGGGGGTCTAGGGTTTACCATTCAGATATCTTTCCTAGCCACTCATGAACTGTTTCTTTGTGCTGAAATAATTATTATATTAAGGAGAGAGGATTAGGAGGGCATACAAGTCTTACCCGCTAAAGCCTTATATAAGCTCACAAGACCTTAGTGCTATGTGCTTTCTCTTCTTGATCACTCACGTAGGACACAGTATCTTGCCTGTATCACCACTGTCACCATCAAGCTGTGCCACAACTGACAGTCTTCAGGATCCTGGCCCTTTGCTCACTAGTTTCTCCAAAACCAGCCTACGTAATTATGGTCACCTGAGTCATTCCCTTATCATGCTGAAGTCCCTGGGAGATCTTCTAGTGAATCACTAAACCCAAGGGCTATAGAGGAATTGGGGAACTGAGCCATGGCTGCAGCTGTCCATGTTAAAAATTATGGATTTATACAGTTGATTAAACATCTGGGACTATATTGATCTGAAACTTCTTACAAATAGTCTGCTATGCTAATCTTAGCAGGATGAATTATAAAAACAAATTCCTAGGTCTTAACTAGCATAACACACAACACACTAACGGGTTTAAAAGCTGAATGGTAACACAGAGATCAAAGATCAATGACAGGAGTTCATGGATAAGTATTCTTAATAGGCTTACCAGTCAGTTATGGAAAGTATCAAATAAACCATCATCTTTTACAAACTGAAATGAAAATTTACTTTTCCTTTCCCCAAACTGAGAACACTGCCTATTATGCAGTTCATGGTAAGAAAAGAAAAAAACCAACAACAAACAAACAGAAAGTCCCTCTCTATATAATGTTAACAACCTGCCAGATGCAGGTAACACATGCTGAAAACTAAGAATATTAAAAGAAAACGAACATTTTAAACATTTACTATTGAAACGGAGTATAGATTTATACCTCAGAAAAAAAGAGTTCTCACAACTAGACTAATAAATAATACCATGGTAGGTGGAGAAAATATCGAAGCTGTCAAGGATTTAATTTTACTTAGATGCACAATTAATGCCCATGGAAGCAGCAGTCAAGAAACCAAAAGATGTTTTATATTGGGCAAAGCTGCTGCAAAATGGTCAAGGGGAACGATACCACTTTAAGAACTAAGGTGCACCTGACACAAGCTAAGGTATTGTTAATCAGTTCATATGCACGGGAAAATTAAACATTAAATAAAGAAGACTAAAAATCAACTTTGAATTGTGGTGTTGGTAAGTAATAGTAAAATATACCAACGACTGCCAAAAGAATAAACAAATGTGTCTTGGAACAAGTTCAGTCATACGCAGAGCATGTTATCAGGGTGGGTTAGTCACTGGAGGAAGACATCATGCTTGACAGAAAAATGAAAAAAAGAGTAAGACCCTCAACGTGATGAACTGACACAGTGACTGTGCAGCTGGTCAGAGCGGGCAGTGCATCATTCTGCTGTGGACAAGGTCACTAGGGATCAGAAACCACTCGAAGGCACCTAACAATAACAGAGAGTCTTCTGAGTCTGAAAGTCTTGGTTTGCTAGCACTCTGAGGCCGGTAGAGCTGAATACCCTTATGAGAATTATTTCAAAAAATCATAAAAAGGAGAAAAGAATGAAGCCTAGCATATCAAAATGAGTACACAGCACATTAGAGTGGTTAGGCTTATTTAGACAAAATAGCTGCAGCCCATGCTGCCCCATGAGCAATCCTTACCTAAGGTAATGACGGCATGTGCTCTAATCACAGAAGGCATGGCACAGCCTCTGAACTGGGATAGTGGCTCCGAGGCAGGGGTGTCACTGTCGCCTTGAGATGCTGCTACTAAAGACAAAGAGAACAAAGGTATAGGTATAGGTAGAGTACCTCAGAGGTTGACACAGTCACACACAGGTAGCACAGGGTGGAGAATAATTTCAAGTGCCTTACAGTGGTCCGCGTCAGCAGAAGCAGCCAGAATGGACTGAATCAGAAGGAAGACTCGCTTCTCTACCTTAGCTGGACACAACTGGGCTATATCTCCTAAGGTAAAAATGCATCTCACCTATAAATAGAGTTAGTTTTGTAGTAAAAAATAAGGCAAAGAGAATTAACTCTAGTTAGATTAAGAACATTTTAGTGAAATACTTTTTTTTTTGTTCCCTCAAATGAAAAACTTTATACAATATTTAGTAAAAATACACGGTTATTTTAAAAAATTTAGTCACTATGTAATGAGGTTCATTCAGAATTAGGGTCGTCATATAATTTTGTCAACTCAGTCTAGATTTTACTGTTATAACTAAAAGAGTGTACTACTCATAATTACGGCGTGACAATAAGGGGTAAATCAGAATTATCCTGGGCATACTAGAATATATAACCACCCACTTATAATCTTATCACCTGTGGTGTTAAGGATTTATTGTTTAAAATGGCTTCTCTAGACACTGCCTGATTTTGTCATGTGGATGGGTGAGAATATGTGAATATGATGTGTTAGCCTATCCATAAGGGGAATGGCTAGTCTCATCTCTAAATTGAGCAGATGAGGTAGCAGATTTGAGTCTCACCACCAGTAAAGCACAGCAGGCAAGCATTCTGTGCCCTGCAGGCCAGAAGTTCCTGCACCAGCCAGGTCTACAGCAACAGCGGCCACGGCTGAAGCAGAGGACCAGAGACCCAACACGAGATGGAGCTGACCTTGTAACTGCTACTCCTCTCCAAGGAACCAGAACTAAAAGCCTTTGCCCAAGTTGGTTGGATAACTGGTGTGAAGGGGGAATAGTTAGCCATAATTGGCAAGACCAAGAGCTCTGTACCTCTGTCATGAGACTCAAGAATGAGGCTCCTAAAAGCACATGTCTACAGCTGTCCTGAGTGATTTTGTTCTGTCACTAACCTGAATCACAGCCTTTTGACTTCTCTAAATATGGTTCTATGTGGTCTGTGAGCTATCCTATCAGATTCTGGATGCTCTAAAGCAGTAAGATTGCTTCTGCGATGTGCAGGAGTGTGGCTGATCATATGGGAATTGATTTTGTGTTGTTCATGCTGTTGGTGGGGACAATTACCCTTTGTGAAGTTAAGGCCAGATAGAGCCGTCCCAACATGGCCCTGGCTCTTTTTGTACCACATAAAGGCCCCATTATTATTGTTGTACATAATGATCTTTTCAAAGTATTTTTATAGTCACATGGCTTTAAGTTTATTTTTCTTATACACTTAACAATTACAACATTTTATATTGAAGAGAAAAAAAAACCAACCCCAATTAACATCATTTTAAAGTTTGAACTTATTACTACCATTATTAGGAATATTTTCTTTTAAACAAATGTTTGATAAACCATGTCATTTTAAACCACAATATCGTAATTTATTCCACCATTAAGGCAATATGCATATTGATTGTATTGTTATTTACTTTTCATTGCTATTGTTATATTATTTAGCTCTGATAAACACTTTTATATCTTTGCATTCTATTTCTTTAGACATTAAACCTATCTTGTACTTCAATACGTATTTCCAATCTGCTTGCCAGATTAGTTTACTAAAACAAGTATTAGTTATAGTTTCCTCAGATTCACTGTTTCTGTGTGTTTACTAAGGATATGCAGCTAAAATTTTCATTAATATTGCTTATTTCTTTTTTATTTCAATAATGGAAAAGTGATGTCAAATAAAGGATTATTTTATGGTTAAAAAAGTCAATCGTATGAGAGTATTTAATAAAATTCTGAAAAAGATTATATATCTTAATAAAGAATTATTTAACAAAGTAAAGAAGTATGAGAAAAAAATGGAGTTGGTTTTGTAATTAAAAATGTCATTTCTAGATCAATCCTGAAATACAATGTGACATGATAGTATCCATATGCATACAAGGAAGTCCAGTGAATACCACTATCATTCAAATATATGCACCAACAACGAGAGCCAAAGAGGAGGAAATAGAAGATTTCTATCAACTTTTGCAGTCAGAAATTGATCAAATATGCAATCAAGATGCATTCATAGTAATGGGCGACTGGAACGCAAAAGTTGCGAAGAAGGATTAGTAGCTGGAAAACACGGGCTTGGGGAGAGAAAGAAGGCTGGAGATAGAATGATAGAGTTCTGCACATTCAATGAATTATTCATTGCAAATACCTTTTATAAGAAACATAAACACAGGCTATACACATGGATCTCACCTGATGGTATGCATAGGAATCAAATCAATTACATTTGTGGAAAGACTCGCTGGACAAGCTCAGTATCAGCAGTGAAAACCAGGCCGGGTGCTGATTGTGGGACAGATCATCAACTACTCATACGCAAGTTCAAGATGAAGTTGAGGAAAATTAAATCAAGTCCACAGAAACCAAAACTTGACCTTAAGTCTGTCCCACTCGAATTTCAAAACCATCTCAGAAACAGGTTTGAGGCCTTGAGCACTAATGAGCATAGACCATATGAGCTCTGGGAAGATATCAAGAAAATTGTCCATGAAGAATCCAAAAGATCATTACAAAGACTGAAGAAGAAGAAAAGACCAAGATGGATGTCAGATGAGACTCTGAGTATTGCATTAGAACTCCAAGAAGCCAAAGCTAAAGGAAGAAATCAAGAAATCAAAGAGCTGAACAGAAAATTTCCAAAGGCAGCTTGGGATAACAAAGCAAGATACTACAATGAAATGTGCAGAGAGCAGGAGTCAGAAAATCAAAAGGGCCAGACTCACTCAGCGTTTCTTAAGCTGAAGGAGCTGAAAAACAAATTCAAGCCACAGGTGGTAATACTTAAGGATACTTTGGGTAGAATGTTGAATGATCCAGGAAGTATCAAAAGAAGATGGAAGGAGTACAGAGAGTCACTGTATCAGAAGGAAATGGCTGACACAGAGGAATTTCATGAAATAACATATGAGCAAGAGCCCAATGGTGATGAAGGAGTAAGTTTAAATTGCTCTGAAGGAACTGGGGAAAAACAAGGCTCCAGGAGTTGATGGCATACCAATTGATTTATTTAACAAACAGACGCTGCCCTGGATGTGCTCACTAAGTTCTGCCAAGGAATCTGGAGGACAGCCATCTGGCCAACTGACTGGAAGAGATCAGTATTTGTTCCCATTCCAAAGAAAGGTGACCCAACAGAGTGTGGAAATTATGAAACGATATCATTACTATCACAGGCAAGCAAGAGTGGAATGGTGGGAATGAGTGTGTCTGAGATGGCGAGGGTGGCACAGGATAGAACGGGGTTTAGGGCTCTTGTACATAGGGTCACTATGAGTCGCAAGTGACTCAGTGGCACATAACAACAACAACAAAGAAGTATGCAGTAAACATTATAGGGCAGAAGTTTTTCATATGATTTTGAATGAACAGTAGATTCTGATGACATTTAATGATTGGAAAAAACCCTGTGGGGATATACTCACTGGACATAATACATAGTTTTCTTATTTTGGGCAGGGATCTGCTCACATGAATTTGAACAGAACTTCTCTAGAAACTTCAGGTGAAGTCTATTTTACAGATCATGCTCTTTTTTTTTTCTTGAGCAAAAATCACTTTCATTGGGATGCTCTTTTAAGTTTTAAGAAAAAGTAAAAGATAAAGTTAAATGACAGATTCCACTAACAGATGCCCAGAGGCACAGGCTGGGTATTTCTACTTGATACAGTGCAAAGAAGGGGATCCCAGTTTGCACCTCCCATACTCCTTTCTGCAGCCCAGCTGTCTGCTGGGCTTCGCTGCACCTTCCTGAATACCTGCTTGCAGACCACACCCTCCACTCTCATCTCCAGGTGCAGCCCACGGCCTTCTAGCCACTGGTCCAGCTGCCGCCCTTCTTCTCGCTCTTGTGCACACTTTAGCTTATCTCCTTCTCAGCTCACTGTAGTCATGCACAGATGGTCATTTATGCCCGTCAGATCCTCTTCAAACTCCTTCCCATCCTGGAAATCCATGATGTTCTGGATGAAAGTGCTCAGGATGCGATGATCATATAGTCATTGTCCTATATGATCTGTCTGTCTTGAGCAAGGTGGCAATCTTGCACAATGCCATGTTCAAGTGTGCACAAGTATTTCTTGAAATTCTCATTGTTCAGCATTTTCCTGTAGCTAGTAAAACTAACTGGCATTTTTGTGGGCTAACAGGGCCTGATGGCCAGAAGTTGGCATGATGGCACTGGACTCTGTCCGGGAGGCCTTTAACACTACTCTTCTTGTATTTAAAAAAAAAAAGGCGGGGGGAAGGTCCTGATTCTGACTGGTAATGATACATTTTATTCTTGAAATCATGCATAGTCATAACTGAAATCATTAAAAGTGGTCTATTGTTAAAAGAGCAGACCATTTCTAAGCATAGTCTTCCTTCAATCACTGAGAACTACAAATGCTACCTGGCAAAGCAGGGTCTGACCACAGAAGAGAGGTGTTGTATTAATCTTTAAGCAGACACAGAAAATAGCCAGATCTGGTTAAAAGATGAGTTTATACTGAAGGACACCAACAAGCGGGTCATTATTTTCTTTACCAGACAGGAGCACAAAACATTTTGTTGGCAACAGCCATTCAAATCAACACTCATTTATTTGTCCTTTAGAATCTATTGCACTGAAAATTCCTAAAGCTGGGATTTAATGTTAACACAATTTAGTGGTATCAAGGTCACCTGTGTTTTGATTCGAAAGCACCACATTTCATTAGACATTACTTTAAAAATGCTCAGTACTATTCTCCATGTCTGCAGTGTGATGTTCCTACAGTTAGGAAGATATTTTATAACTTAAATAAATCAACCACAAGGAAAAACATTCACTTATTCCTTATTAATTTTTAAGCTTGACTTTATCAAGCTTGTGATATACTGTGTTAATAGGCTTCTTACAGGATCTAACTGAATGAAATTTATAATACCAAATATTTTTCACCCATACAGTAACAATTAAATAAGAAAAAAGTACATTATCAATATGTTTCTACTAAAAAGAGTTAAGTTCTAGTCTAGGAGAGTTCTTCATAATAATACTTAAAAAGCCCACCACACCATAATTTTTTCTTTTTAATCCAATTGATATGAAAGGGAGAGAAACAGTGATGAAGAGAGAATGGTGCTTACCAGCAGGTCTTCATCCACATTCCCGGCCCCGCCTTCCTTGAGGACTATGTTGGAGAGGCAGTGCTCACAGGCAGCAAGCACATCCACACACACCTGCTTCAGTAACTCCTGCAGTGAGGTCAAGACCATTTCTGAAGAATCCAGATCATCTACCAAACTACTACTCACCAAGCTCAATTTTCTCAGAATAAATGCTAACATCATCAAATGAAGAAAAGATAAGGTATGTAAAACCCTAGGCACTCCAATTTATATCTTCCCGTGTTTCCAAAATTTAGCCTAAGCTAAAATGGCATATTTTTAGTCGGTTATTTTGCTATGAAAATTTGGCTAAGTTAGATTATAAACAACTATGTGAGTTCACATTTATAAAATACTTCTTTCTGCATTTACTCCGTGAGGGCAAAAGCAGTAGGAGTCAGACTCATGTGGCAACCATGGCCTTGGTGTCCTAACTTCTAGGAAACCATTAACAGCACTGTTCCCCCAACAGGCCATTCTGCCATTCACTGCCATTCTGCCAAGTGCAGGTGGTGAATTATTTCAATAAACAGCAGAAATGAAAAGGAAAAAAGCTAAAACATCTATTTATTCACTAGAGAAAAGTTTTCTGTATCTCTCGCTTAAATGCTTAAGGCAGTTGTCCTAGGAAGGCATTCCAAAGTACATAGGCTCACTGCTTCCACTGCAGTGCTTCTACATTGGCCTAAGGTGGACGATATTACTGCAGTGATTATGTTGAGTGTATCTGTAAGCTTCCCTCAATACAAGGAATGTCTCAGGAAGGTGCCCAGTCTAACGACAAGCCAAGGCTCAAAAGCCACTATCCCATATGAGGGAACCTGATCAGTGTTTGTCAAACTGTTGGTAAAACAGGAGAATGATCAAAATGATTTTTTACTCTCACTTGTTCTAAAACACATTATAACTATTTTCTTATTACTACTTTTCTTATGTTATCTTATTTTTGGTAAAAAAAAATATGGTAAAACCCACTTCCATTGCACAGTTTCTAGGCATCAGGATCCATGACATTGGTTATATTCTTATATTGTGTTAATATTCTTGCTGTTTTCTGCTCAGTTCTGAAGGAATCTAAGTAAGTGGAAAAGCACCCCAAGAATTCTTGGAACGAGGGAAGAGGTGATGCAGAAGGGTATATGAAACGACAGTAAGTAGCCAGGCTATCTCATCAAAATACAGCTTTTTAGAATTTTCTCTCGGAAACATGTATTCACCAGCAGGCTGAATTACTATGATACTTGTACCTAAGATCAATGTTATTACTGTATACTGTCAAATCTTGACCAAATCACAGCTGACCCACTGGCAGGTTTTCTGAGGCAGTAAACTACATGCGAACAGACTGCCCACCTATCTCCCATGGAACAGCTGGTGGATTCAAATCACGTGCCTTTGGGATTGCAGCACAGTAAGAAAACCAAACGTTTCCAGCAGCCAAAAGCAACTGCTTGTCCTATAAATTATCCTCATTGTAGTAATGGAAGCTAAGGGCTATACATCCTTACTAGTTCTTTAGTTATAAGGTAATTTCAAAACAGAAAGAGCAGTGTGTCTAAGTGTAAAGAGCAGTATATATAAGTACAAATAAATTCTAAATGACAAGAAGTCACTCTTACCTGCTCCTCTACAGATGTCTCTGCAGATGCTCTACAGAGTCCTTGCAAAGTATCAACTGCTGAACTGATCACCTCTAGAGACCACTGAAATCCATTAAGCTTGCATTTGATAACATCTGAAAAGGAAGTCAAAACCCAACAAGTACTCACTAGTAAAATGGAAATAAATAGAGAGAATACAGAGATGAGAGGTACCATGCTGCCAACAGAGAGTCTAGAACAGACACTCACCAGTCACTTTATCCCGGGTGCTCTGAGGAAGGTGGTTTGCAATATGCCCAATGACACACAGGATATGTCCAAGGGTGTTTGAATTGGGATTCTGCTGACTAGAAAAAAGGCAGGAGGAATATCAGTATATAATCAAAGCACTTCCTGAAATTGAAGAGCTCTAGCTGCAGAAAGGAAAATATTCTCCCAACAGAAGAGAAAAAAATTCTACCCCCAGCCAGAACTCCGCCGCCAGACCGAAGGTCTCTGCCGCCAGACGACTGACCAGGAAGAGACCCGGGAAGAGCAACAGTCAGCCACCCACCGCGGAACTCCAGAGGAGCGAAGACTACCCGCCACTGTGTGACCACCAACACACGGGGTGCTGCTGCATAAACCCCCAGCAGCGCACAGGCCCTGCCCCCACCTCTTGGTGATAGTCTCCAAGCCCTGTGCTCCTTACCTGCCTAGTCCCTTGCTTTCCTCCCTTTCCCCCCGCACGCTTGCAACTCCACAACCACAGCTCCACAACCATGCACCTCAGCCCCCACCATAAACCTGTGACCTCAGGGCACCACCACAGATCCAGCCATCACCCGGAGCTATCAGCCGAGCTGTTGTGGAACTAACCTGGCAAGAGAAAGGCTGGTAGGATCTTAGCTGTGTTTTCTGGGGCAGTGCTGATTACCCGGGAGAGGACCTAAGGGTGTGCCCACTGGTGGGGAATTTGGCCGAACTCTCTTGGGCTACACAAACTGCCCAAAACGAGCCAGCCAGGTGGCTTCTGTGAACTCTGCAGACCAGCCAGAGATTAGTGGGTTGGTGGGAATTTGACCTTGACTTTTCGGATCCTGTCAGATCAAGGACCCTGCTGGAGCAGGGGCTGTTGTGTGTGGGCACCTACAAAAACGCCACCAGGCAGGGAACACTGAAAAAAACCACTGGGTAGGAAACGGACAGCAGGAATTTGAGTAAGGACCTCAGTTGTGAGCACACTGAGACAGCAGAGGTTTAAGCAAGGTCCTCCAAGTGATTGGCATGCCCTTGTGATCACCCAACCCTTTGCCTTCCTCACCCCATTTGGCTCCAC